GGAGGGGTTGGCCTGGTGGTGGGTACTGAGGAGGGCACGTTCTGCACGGAGCACTGGGTGTTATGCACAAACAGTGAATCATGGAACACTTCATCTAAAACTAATGATGTAATGTATGGGGATTAACATAAGAATAAAAAAAAAATCATTCCCCAGGGAAAAAAAAAAAAAAAAAGAAAAGAGGCTATATAAAGAACCAAACGGAAATTTTAAAACTTAAATGTACAATAACAAATAAGCTCAGTGGATGTGATCAATGAAGGGCACAGAGGAAAGAGTCAGTGAAGTAGAAGACAGAACAGAAATTACCCAATCTGAATAATAGAAAATAGACTGGAGGAAAAAAAAATCAACAGAACCTCAGGGACCTGTGGAACTACATTAAAAGATCTAACATTCATGTTATTGGAGTCCCAGAAAGAGAGGAGAAAGAGGCTGTAGCTAAAAAGTACTCAACCATTTTAGAAATGAAATGCAGGAAAAATCTGTGGTTGCCAGGAGTTAAGGAGAGGGTAGAGGTGGGAGACTATAAAAGGGCAGCATGAGGTAGTCTTGCGGTGATGAAATGTTCTGTATCTTGACTGCATCAATGTCAACATCCTGCCTGTGATCCTGTGCTATAATTTTGCAAAATGTTACCCCTGGGGAAAATAGGTTAAGGGTACAATGGGATCATCTCTATATTATTTCTTACAGTTGCATGTGAACCTACAATTATCTTTTAAAAAGTTAATTAAAAACAACAACAACAAAAGTTCTGTGTAGAGATAACCTCTCATCTGTGAGTTCCTGTTCGCATTTTCTCTTTTAGGCATATACTACACCAAATAGGATGTGCTAATTTATACTCCCACAAGCAGAGTTTTGCTGTACGCTCATCACCATGGGGTATAATTTATTTTTTAATAATATTTGCCAAGCTTATCAGTGGACTTCCCTTCATTTTAAGGAAATAACCCACGAGTCACAGGCACAAATATGAATAGCACTGATTGAGAGTACTGTTGTTATGCTTTCCATCTTACAAGAAAAAATAACAAATTATACAAGTGAAGAATACATAATAATATTATAAATTATTATTACAGGGTTTTTTTTCTATATACCATGACCCCCTTTGCTTTCACCTTTGCAACACGAGTTAAATAAATTTGCAAATAAATAAATAAATACGGAAGCTATTTGCAGGTCAATTTCTTTTAGTCAACAGTTCAGGATAGAAAAAATTTTTAGATAATCATTTGAATAATGGGCCCAAGCCAGAAATATAATAGGGGTAAAAATAATAATTTTACATTTACCTTTAAAAACTCAACTGCATAAGGATCTGAAAGGGAAGACAGGGCTTAAGA